CGAGGACAAGGCTGGAGATCACTCTGTCATGCTGATTGAGTTAGAATAACAGACTGGAAGCTTTAAAAGGAGGGTGGTGCTTGAAATCATTGTTCTTCCTCTGTTAACCATGGTTACCTGCAAGGAAACATGTGCCGTCATCATTGCTTTGCACAAAAAGGGCTTCACAGGCAAGGATATTGCTGCTAGTAAGATTGCACCTAAATCAACCATTTATCGGATCATCAAGAACTTCAAGGAGAGAGGTTCAATTGTTGTGAAGAAGGCTTCAGGGCGCCCAAGAAAGTCCAGCAAGCGCCAGGACCGTCTCCTAAAGTTGATTCAGCTGCGGGATCGGGGCACCACCAGGGCAGAGCTTGCTCAGGAATGGCAGCAGGCAGGTGTGAGTGCATCTGCACGCACAGTGAGGTGAAGACTTTTGGAGGATGGCCTGGTGTCAAGAAGAGCAGCGAAGAAGCCACTCCTCTCCAGGAAAAACATCAGGGACAGACTGATATTCTGCAAAAAGGTACAGGGATTGGACTGCTGAGGACTGGGGTAAAGTCATTTTCTCTGATGAATCCCTTTTCCGATTGTTTTGGGCATCCGGAAAAAAGCTTGTCCGGAGAAGACAAGGTGAGCGCTACCATCAGTCCTGTGTCATGCCAACAGTAAAGCATCCTGAGACCATTAATGTGTGGGGTTGCTTCTCAGCCAAGGAAGTGGGCTCACTCACAATTTTGCCTAAGAACACAGCCATGAATAAAGAATGGAGAGCAACTTCTCCCAACCATCCAAGAACAGTTTGGTGACGAACAATGCCTTTTCCAGCATGATGGAGCACCTTGCCATAAGGCAAAAGTGATAACTAAGTGGCTCAGGGAACAAAACATCAACATTTTGGGTCAATGGCCAGGAAACTCCCCAGACATTAATCCCATTGAGAACTTGTGGTCAATCCTCAAGAGGCGGGTGGACAAACAAAAACCCACAAATTCTGACAAACGCCAAGCATTGATTATGCAAGAATGGGCTGCCATCAGTCAGGATGTGGCCCAGAAGTTAATTGACAGCATGCCAGGGCGGATTGCAGAGGTCTTGAAAAAGAAGGGTCAACACTGCAAATATTGACTCTTTGCATAAACTTAATGTAATTGTCAATAAAAGCCTTTGACACTTATGGAATGCTTGTAATTATACTTCAGTATACCATAGTAACATCTGACAAAAATATCTCATAACACTGAAGCAGCGAACTTTGTGAAGACCAATACTTGTGTCATTCTCAAAACTTTTGACCACGACCACGAAAAGCGTTCACTGAAGCAGAGTGTTCAGAGAGAATTCGCAGGGCTCTGCGTAAACGGCTTCGACCCACCGATGAGAAGTACGAGCCTGGAAACAAAGTGTACTACAAACGAGTTGACTGTCAAGAGTGGAAAGGACCGGGAGTCGTCATTGGCCAAGATGGAGTGGTGATATTTGTGAGGCACGGAGGCACCATTGTCATCACTCAAGATTGCGGAAAGTAAATGATCAACAAGATGGAGGGGCTGTTGCTGAGAATCAGCCTCCTACTGAAAATGACAAAACTAACACATTAATAGACACCAACCTACCAGATGTCGCATCCAATGGTACGGACACTGAAACAAGGAAATATGTTGAGGGTTCAAATGAGGAAAACATTCAACAACAGCCACGTGTTAAGATAACGTGGCTGTTCCGAAAACTGGACAAACTGTTAAATAAACGGACAGAGATAGTGGTATTAAAACACACAGCAACCGTCATTGGACGATCAGGAAAAGCCAAAGGAAAACACCAGAACTGGTACAACCAGCAGTACTCTGAACCAGCTACGCTTTCTGGTACAATCGGGTCAGCTGACCTGGCACTTGTAGATCATCACAGAATTGAACCAATGGACAATTGAGAAAAACAGAATGACATTCACAATGGCGACGTACTTGAAACAAAGGGACGTGTCATTTGACTCAGCTAAACTAGATGAGCTCAGTAATTGGAGGGAAAATGGAGTGTTTGAGGAAGTCAAAGACATTGGCCAAAAATGTGTCTCAACAAGGTGGGTGTGTACCCTTAAAATAATCCTTAACTGGAATAGTGCCAAAAGCACGTCTAGTGGCTAGAGGTTTTGAGGAGCTAGATACTAAACAACTCCCAAAAACACTCAACGACACGCTCCACAGAGTCACTCGGATTGCTGCTGACAGTGATCTGCCAGAAGAAAAAAAATGGAAACTTCATTCCATAGACATCAAATCTGCATTTTTGCAGGGAACAGAGCTATCAAGGGACATTCACATCCGACCTCCGCCTGAAGCTAAGAGCGAAGGAACACTGTGGAAACTAAAGAAGTGTGTGTTTCGGCCTGGCAGATGCATCACTCTACTGGTACAACAAAGTCAAGGCAACGATGCTGAGTACAGGTGGAAAAATGTCACAAGTGGATCCTGCAGTCTTCTATTGGCTTGATCAAGACTGCAATGTGACTGGAGTACTTGCCTGTCATGTTGATGACTTTATCTGGGGTGGCTTCACAGACCTTTGCTACAACTGTGCTTCCACACCTCAAAGCTGTTTTCCCAGGTCGGCCGTGAGGAGCATGATAGTTTTTGTTATGTTGCCATATAGTTTATTACAGTTGACAGAACAATACTGATGCAACGGGAAAGCTACATCAAGAATCTTCAATCCACATGGATTCTTCAAGAGCCGTACAAAGGAATTCCCCTCTCTGTGGAATTGAAGCTGATCAAATGAGGTCAAAGATAGGTCAAATTCGATGGGTTGCTAGACAGAGTAGACCTGATGTAATGTTTGATGGCTGCAACTTGGCATCCAACACAAAACCACGCCACTGTACAAACCATTCATGAGGCAAACAAAGTTGTTTCGTAAACTGAAATCACAACAAGTGACTAAAGTTTCAGCATGTTGGAAAAAGATGACTCTCTGAAACTAGTTGTCTTCAGTGATGCTTTCCTAGGGAACCTTACAGATGGAGGCACACGAGGTGGACATCTAGTCGGGTTAATGGGTGAAGAAGGAAGATTCTCACCTATCTGTTGGCAGTCAAAAAGGGATCAGAAGGGTTTGTCCGAAGCACACTTCCTGGAGAAACCCTTGCTATGGCGGATGGAATTGACAATGCCATCTTTCTGGCAACTCTGTTCTCAGAGCTTACCACTGGTGAGACAAAACGGCACATTCTACCTGTAGTGTGTGTCACTGACGACTACTCCCACTGACGACTACTCCCACTGACGACTACTCCCACTGACGACTACTCCCACTGACGACTACTCCCACTGACGACTACTCCCACTGACGACTACTCCCACTGACGACTACTCCCACTGACGACTACTCCCACTGACGACTACTCCTTAGTTGATGCAGTCAAGTCAACCAAGTCTGTCACAGAGAAAATACTTCGTCTTGAGATTAGCTGCATCAAGGAACTTATTCAAGCACAGAGAATCCAGCGGATTCTGTGGTCGGCCACAAAGGAACAGCTTGCTGACTGTCTGACTAAAAAGGGAGCATCCGGTCTTGTGCTCCTAAAGGCACTCAGTAATGGAAAGTGGCAGCTTGACTAATAAAAATACAAACATTTGTAATGGGTAATTTAAACAATACTTGGGACATTTAATTGCAGGTAGCTTAGTGGTTAAGAGCGTTGTGCCAGTAACCGAAAGGTCGCTGGTTCTAATCCCCGAGCCGACTAGGTGAAAAATCTGTTGATGTGCCCTTGAGCAAGGCACTTAACCCTAATTGCTCCTGTAAATCGCTCTGGATAAAAGCGTTTGTTAATGACTAAAAAAATTATTATTATAATAATATTTTGTTGATGTTTAATTTGTCTTTAAAGAAAAGTGGGAGATTGTTAAGTTCATGTTTTAAGTATCTCTATATTTCTGTTATTAGTATGCCTGTGCAGTAGTCTCTCTGTCGAAGGACCTGGCCTGAGTGCAATGGGAACTGTGTACTGTGGAAATACGGTGAAGTAAACGTTAAACTGGAACCTAGTCGTTGTGTCATTTTGAGTTAACAAATATTAGGAAAGTTGAGAAATAAACATAGTAGGCCTAGCCTATCGAAAGCTGATCCTCCTCTTTTTAGTTGAGGACATTACTCTGTTTTCTTGCACAATTGCATAGCCTATTGAAATGTTGCGCAATATGAGCTCATGGGCTCTCATGAAGTGTTTGATTAGAATTTAGATACATTTGCATTGATGTCAGAGTGATTAGAGGGACAATAGAGTGCTGAGTACCAGGCAGTTAGCAAGTTTGGTAGGATACTAATGACCATCAGCAGCATCAGAGCTTGGAGAAGCCTAATTACCGTGACTAAACGGTCACGTGGAATTTGACTGCCTTCATGACTCGTGACCGCCGGTGGTAATACGGTCACCACAACAGCCCTATCGTTGAGTGGTCCAGCCAGAGCCCAGACTTGAACCCGATCTAACATCTCTGGAGACCTGAAAATAGCTGTGCAGCGACGCTCCCCATCCAACCTGACAGAGCTTGAGAGGATCTGCAGAGAAGAATGGGAGAAACTCCCCAAATACAGGTGTGCCAAGCTTGTAGCGTCATACCCCAGAAGACTCAAGGCTGTAATCGCTGCCAAAGGTACTTCAACAAAGTACTGAGTAAAGGGTCTGAATACTTACGTAAATGTGATATCCGTTTTTATTTTTTTATTTTAGCAAAAAAACTAAACGTTTTTGCTTTGTAATTATGGGGTATTGTGTATAGATAGATCAGGGGGAAAAACATTTAAATCAATTTTTGAATAGGGCTGGAATGTAACAAAATGTGGAGAAAGTCAAGGGGTCTGAATACTTTCCGAAGGCATGTAACTGCATCGATACCAACTGACTCGGTTCACACACTTCTATAATGCTAGTACTGTAGAACTGACAACAGAATGTATATTCTAGGTTAGTATTAGGTAATGCCCCCCCGGGGCCAAACATAAATATGTTGTAATTTTCCAACCTTGATGAACTCATTAAAGGAAATGGAGTTGTCTCCGTTCTGGTCAGCCTCCTGGATGGTCCTATCAGCGATGCTGCCCAGCTGCTCGTCAGAGATGTTCACACCAACCATCATCCTAAGAACCTGGAATAAAACATGTTCACACCAACTATCATCCTAAGAACCTGGAATAAAACATGTTCACACCAACCATCATCCTAAGAACCTGGAATAAAACATGTTCACACCAACCATCCTAAGAATCTGGAATAAAACATGTTCACACCAACCATCATTCTGAGAACCTGGAATAAACATGTTCACACCAACCATCATTTTGAGAACCTGGAATATGTTGACCCAACGTTCCCTAGGGTCTAAAGTTTACAGTTTTCTTCAAGTCTTAACAGCAGAGTTGTAAAGTACAAGAGGACATCCTAAATGTACTATACATAAATGGCAAATGTGTATAAGTGAAAAAAATACTTCAATTTGCTGGTAACATGAAGGGTGCAAAAATGATTCAGGCTTGAAGTTCCTATGTTAATGTGGGAGTAAACTCTAAAGGCACGTTCATGGCATGAAGAGTGTTCGGCAGCAATGTTGTTTGCAAAACAAGAGATCAGCTTTTCCTGAGTCATTGAACCCAGAGGGCAGTTGTAGGTCACATCTCAGACCAGTCACACAGAGAAGAGCAGGGGAGTATTTATTTATTTCAAAACAGAAAAATGTTTTGCAACGAAAACGAGAGTTTATTGGACAAATTCATGTAGGTCCCTCCCCGTTTTCTTCTGTTTGGTTCCTGGTGAAAACACCCCAGGTTTCATAGGGCACTGCCCAGCCAATGACATGGAACACACAAAATCTAGGATGGGGACACTCATGTAGTATGACAAAACAACATTTAGTTGGGGTTGGAAATGTACACCATTGTCTACCGTCCAGGGTAAATTCCCCTCTCCTTCTCAATGGCAAAACACTTTGAAATTCCCATCATAAGTATATCCTGAGCAGCAGGGCTCCTGACCAAATACATTTTCCTCCTTGTCCGTCGCTGCATCGACTTCAACAGGCTCAGATTACACCATGACTTGATGGACAAACCTAAGACGATGCTCTTCTCTGAAAGGGTGTCTGCCAAAGACCTTGTTACTCAGCTCTCGGGTCATTTCCTTTACATGGGGGGGGGGGGGGCAGATACCTCATCCAGGCGTCCCCCCTGACACACACTCTTAACTCTAATTACTCCACAACAGTCAAGCCCTGATTCTTGAATGAGAATATGGTGTTGAGGTCTGGTATCGAGAGACTTAAGGTTCCCCAAAAAACATCAAAGATTTCTAGTGGGGGACCCACAAGTGTGTGTAATTTTAACCCTGACCCCATTCTCACCTGTAGCAGCTCGTCACGGGAGATCTTATCATCTCTGTCCAGGTCATACAGCTGGAAAGCAACTGGATGGGGGAGGGGGAGGGGGGAGGGGGGGAGGGGGGAGGGGGGGAACGAGAGAGAGGGGGAGGGGGGGGGGGGGGGGGGGGGGAGAGGAGAGAAAGGGGTTTGAGGTCAAATAATAGTTTTCAAAATACTATTATTACATTTACATTTTTGTCATTTAGCAGACGTTCTTATCCAGAGCGACTTACAGTTAGTGAGTGCATACATTTTTTTCTATATATATATATATATATATATATATATATATATATATATATATATATATATATATATATATATATATATATATTTTTATACTGGCCCCCCATGGGAATCGAACCCACAACCCTGGCGTTGCAAACGCCATGCTCTACCAACTGAGCTACATCCCTGCCGGCCATTCCCTCCCCTACCCTGGACGACGCTGGGCCAATTGTGCGCCACCCATGGGTCTCCCGGTCGCGGCCGGCGGCGACAGAGCCTGGATTCGAACCAGGATCTCTAGTGGCACAACTGCGCCACTCGGCAACCTGATCCATCAGATCAGGAAAGAAAAAGAGTCAGTTGGTATATAATATTCTATAGTACAGTTAACCAACAACCTGTTGGTATATAGTATTCTATAGTACAGTTAACCAACAACCTGTTGGTATATAGTATTCTATAGTACAGTTAACCAACAACCTGTTGGTATATAGTATTCTATAGTACAGTTAACCAACAACCTTGTTGGTATATAGTATTCTATAGTACAGTTAACCAACAACTTGTTGGTATATAGTATTCTATAGTACAGTTAACCAACAACCTGTTGGTATATAGTATTCTATAGTACAGTTAACCAATAACCTGTTGGTATATAGTATTCTATAGTACAGTTAACCAACAACCTGTTGGTATATAGTATTCTATAGTACAGTTAACCAATAACCTGTTGGTATATAGTATTCTATAGTACAGTTAACCAACAACTTGTTGGTATATAGTATTCTATAGTACAGTTAACCAACAACCTTGTTGGTATATAGTATTCTATAGTACAGTTAACCAACAACCTGTTGGTATATAGTATTCTATAGTACAGTTAACCAATAACCTGTTGGTATATAGTATTCTATAGTACAGTTAACCAATAACCTGTTGGTATATAGTATTCTATAGTACAGTTAACCAATAACCTGGTGGTATATAGTATTCTATAGTACAGTTAACCAACACCTGTTGGTATATAGTATTCTATAGTACAGTTAACCAACAACCTGTTGGGATATAGTATTCTATAGTACAGTTAACCAACACCTGTTGGTATATAGTATTCTATAGTACAGTTTAACCAACACCTGTTGGTATATAGTATTCTATAGTACAGTTAACCAACACCTGTTGGATATAGTATTCTATAAGTACAGTTTAACCAACAACCTGTTGGTATATAGTATTCTATAGTACAGTTAACCAACAACCTGTTGGTATATAGTATTCTATAGTACAGTTAACCAACAACCTGTTGGTATATAGTAATCCCTTATCGTACAGTTAACCAACAACCTTTGGTATATAGTATTCTATAGTACAGTTTACCACACCTGTTGGTATTAGTTTCTATAGTTACAGTTACCACAACCTGTTTGTATATAGTATCCTATAGTACAGTTAACCAATAACCTGTTGGTATATAGTATCCTATAGTACAGTTAACCAACAACCTGTTGGTATATAGTATTCTAAGTACAGTTAACCAACAACCTGTTGGTATATAGTAATTCTATAGTACAGTTAACCAACAACCTGTTGGTATATAGTATTCTATAGTACAGTTAACCAACAACCTGTTGGTATATAGTATTCTATAGTACAGTTAACCAACAACCTGTTGGTATATAGTATTCTATAGTACAGTTAACCAACAACCTGTTGGTATATAGTATTCTATAGTACAGTTAACCAACAACCTGTTGGTATATAGTATTCTATAGTACAGTTAACCAACAACCTGTTGTATATAGTATTCTATAGTACAGTTAACCAACAACCTGTTGGTATATAGTATTCTATAGTACAGTTAACCAACAACCTGTTGGGTATATAGTATTCTATAGTACAGTTAACCAACAACCTGTTGGTATATATATTCTATAGTACAGTTAACCAACAACCTGTTGGTATTGTATTCTATAGTACAGTTAACCAACAACCTGTTGGTATATAGTATTCTATAGTACAGTTAAACCAACAACCTGTTGGTATATAGTATTCTATAGTACAGTTAACCAACAACCTTGTTGGTATATAGTATTCTATAGTACAGTTAACCAACAACCTGTTGGTATATAGTATTCTATAGTACAGTTAACCAACAACCTTGTTGGTATATAGTATTCTATAGTACAGTTAACCAACAACTTGTTGGTATATAGTATTCTATAGTACAGTTAACCAACAACCTTGTTGGTATATAGTATTCTATAGTACAGTTAACCAACAAACCTGTTGGTATATAGTATTCTATAGTACAGTTACCCAATACCTGTTGGTATATAGTATTCTATAGTACAGTTAACCAACAACCTGTTGGTATATAGTATTCTATAGTACAGTTAACCAACAACCTGTTGGTATATAGTATTCTATAGTACAGTTAACCAACAACCAGTTGGTATATAATATTCTATAGTACAGTTAACCAACAACCTGTTGGTATATAGTATCCTATAGTACAGTTAACCAACAACCTGTTGGTATATAGTATTCTATAGTACAGTTAACCAACAACCTGTTGGTATATAGTATTATCGTATATGAAGATTATGACGTTGTTAATGTTTTAAGTGGAACCGGAGAGGACGTTGATTTTAGTATCAAGAGGGAATGTTTTAGTATGACGCCCCAGGGGAGACTGGTGATTGGCCAGAAGAGGGAGCACCCATCTTTTTGCATTGTTTATAAGTAGGGGCTAGACAAAGAGAGGGCAGAGCGGCCATTGCAATCTGAGGCGTCGCTCTCCGGGTGGGCATGTCACCTGTAACTTATGCTGTAAACGTGTGATATTAATAAAAGCCTCTAATCACAGTGCAGCCTAAGCAGACTCTTTGTTGACAGCAATAGCCACCAACAACAGACGCGACACGACAGTATTCTATAGTACAGTTAACCAACAACCTGTTGGTATATAGTATTCTATAGTACAGTTAACCAACAACCTGTTGGTATATAGTATTCTATAGTACAGTTAACCAACAACCTGTTGGTATATAGTATTCTATAGTACTGTTAACCAACAACCTGTTGGTATATAGTATTCTATAGTACAGTTAACCAACAACCTGTTGGTATATAGTATTCTATAGTACAGTTAACCAACAACCTGTTGGTATATAGTATCCTATAGTACAGTTAACCAACAACCTGTTGGTATATAGTATTCTATAGGAAATTGTCAACAGATCTGGCCTGGGTCAGAGATCTGTTTGTGCCGTCTTGACAATAAATGATGAGTGACAAGGAGTCTCAGGCTAGGAGCCACCCTCTGGCTAGGCTTACAGAGCAGCTTGTTGGTCCTGCTGTTGAGAGGTTCAGAGGCGGTGGGATCCTTGTTCTTCTCATTGTCTTCTATGGGACGGAAGTGAGCCAGCGTCCTCATGAAGCCCCTGAAGTTAACTTGGTCCTCCCTGAGAAGAAAAAAAACCCACAGGTGGGACAACAACAACAATTACATCATCCATCGAACTCACAGAGGAGATATATAGGCCTAGGGGGTGGGATTTTCTATGAACGTTTAGCTGTATAATTTGCTGAATAGGCATACAGCAAAAACAGTAATTCACATGAGTGGTCATGACTTGAGGTCAGAACACCTTAGACCGATGCTACCCTTCTTAGAAATCGGGCCATTCATTGCGGCCCACATGACTAGGGCTGTGGCGGCCATTACATGTTTTCCCTCAGCCGGTAACTGTAATGCAAATAACTGCCGGTCTCACGGTAATTTACCGTTCATTAACAAACATTTGAGCATCTCCTGGCTTCCACGCATAGCCACTGATGCGGACCTTTGGAACATCTACATTTAAGAGGAGACGGGGTTAAAAGGAGGATTTTTAAACCTTGAGACAATTGAGACATGGATTGTGTATGTGTGCCATTCAGAGGGTGAACGGGCAAGACAAAAGATTTAAGTGCCTTTGAACGGGGTACGGTAGTAGGTGCCAGGCGCACCGGTTTGTGTCAAGAACTGCAACGCTGCTGGGTTTTTCCATGCTCAACAGTTTCCCGTGTGTATCAAGAATGGTCCATCACCCAAAGGACTTCCAGACAACTTGACACACCTGTGGGAAGCATTGGAGTCAACATGGGCCAGCATCCCTGTGGAATGCTTGACACCTTGTAGAGTCCATGCCCCAACATATTTAGGCTGTTCTGAGGGGGGGATGCAACTCAATATTAGGAAGGTGTTCTTAATGTTTTGTACACTCAGTGTAGAGAGCCAGGGGGAAAAAAAGACATGTCATCCATATACACTTGAATAGCAAATGGAGGACGCTTTTCCTGTGGTTCATTTTCATGCCAGTCAGGTAGGCTCCTCTGGTTATAACGCAAAGCAATGTGCTTAATATTAGGAAAGTTGAGAATTAAATATAGTAGACTTTCTTCTAGAAAGCTGATGGGATCCTCTTTTTAATAGAGGCCATCAAAACTCTGTTTTCTCACGCAATTGCATAGCATAGCCTATAGAAATGTTACGCAACATGGGCTTAGAGGAACACATTTCATTCCATGCATCAACCAGCTATGAGGAGCTGGCTCTCGCTGCACAACAGGTGATCCTATTCTGCTCTGAATGCCGGGGCTCTCATGAAGTGTTTGATTAGAATTTAGATACATTTGCATTGATGTCAGAGTGATTAGAGGGACAATAGAGTGCTGAGTACCAGGCAGTTAGCAAGTTTGGTAGGCTACTAATGACCATTGGTGGCATCAGAGCGCAATTTTCTCCCGAGTGGCGCAGTGGTCTAAGGCACTGCATCGCAGTGCTAGCTGTGCCACTAGAGATCCTGGTTCGAATCCAGGCTCTGTCGTAGCCGGCCGCGACCGGGAGACCCATGGGGCGGCGCACAATTGGCCCAGCGTCGTCCAGGGTAGGGGAGGGAATGGCCGGCAGGGATGTAGCTCAGTTGGTAGAGCATGGCGTTTGCAACGCCAGGGTTGTGGGTTTGAGTCCCATGGGGGGCCAGTATGAAAAAATATATATATATAGAAAAAAAATGTATGCACTCACTTAACTGTAAGTCGCTCTGGATAAGAGCGTCTGCTAAAATGACTAAAATGTACATTTTGGAGAAGTCTAGTTACCGTGACTCAACGGTCACGTGGAATTTGACTGCAGTCAAATTAATTAATTAATTAAACTATTATAAGCCACAGCTAAAGTTAAGTCGCCTGGTCGTTTTGGGATGTTAATGATATAGGTCTAGATGTTAATGATATAGGTCTAGATGTTAATGATATCGGTCTATCCAAGGCATGTTGTCTAAAAACATGCAACTTTCATGTGAATTTCAAAGATCACCACAACCAGTCATACACACTTAAACTTTTGAAAATGCATTACAATATACACACATTATTCATGAAGACTCAAACAAAGGAATGTTTACTGTATGTTTAATGTACATTACTAAATGGTTTGTTGTTGTGGTGAGATTGACTCAAGTCAAAGCTATGTGCATCTTTGAGGAAATCAGTGAAGGACACAGACTACTCACCCCTCAGGAAAGAAGGCATTAATGATTCTGTCTCCCAGAGGGTTGATGGCCAACTCTGGGATCCGCTGGAAATCTTCACGACTACATAAACAACACAGGGTGAGGAGAGGAGGGGTGAGGTGAGGAGAGGGGAGGAGAGTTAGGATTTACTCAATGACAACAAAAGGGAACTTTGAACTATATTTTCCAAGGCTGCATTCACACAGCCAGCCCAATTCTGATCTATATTTTCCACTAATTGGTCTTTTGACCAATCACAAAATATATGATCTGATTGGTCAAAAGACCAATTAGTGAAACAAATATCAGAATTGGGCTGCCTGTCTAAACGCAGCCTATGAGTTTGACCCCACTTCCAATCACACACTATGGACCACAAATCAGCAGATAAGTGGACAGATATGTCTTGTTGAAATGATATGATACTGGGTAATGTCTTGTTGAAATGATATGATACTGGGTAATGTCTTGTTGAAATGATATGACATGACACTGGGTAATGTATTGTTGAAATGATATGATATTTCACTCTGGGTAATGTCTTGTTGAAATGATATGACACTGGATAATGTCTTGTTGAAATGATATGACACTGCGTAATGTCGTTGAAATAATGATGTGACACTCTGGGTAATGTCTTGTTGAAATGATATGATACTGGGTAATGTCTTGTTGAAATTATATGATATTTCACTCTGGGTAATGTCTTGTTGAAATGATATGACACTGGATAATGTATTGTTGAAATGATATGACACATGGGTAATGTCTTGTTGAAATGATATGACACTGGGTAATGTCTTGTTGAAATGATATGACACTGCGTAATGTCGTTGAAATAATGATGTGACACTCTGGGTAATGTCTTGTTGAAATTATATGACACTGGATAATGTCTTGTTGAAATGATTTGATATGACACATGGGTAATGTCTTGTTGAAATGATATGACACTGGATAATGTCTTGTTGAAATGATTTGATATGACACATGGGTAATGTATTGTTGAAATGATATGACACTGGATAATGTCTTGTTGAAATGATTTGATATGACACATGGGTAATGTCTTGTTGAAATGATATGACACTGGATAATGTCTTGTTGAAATGATATGACACTGGATAATGTCTTGTTGAAATGATTTGATATGACACATGGGTAATGTCTTGTTGAAATGATATGACACCGGGTAATGTCTTGTTGAAATAATGATGTGACCCTGGGTAATGTCTTGTTGAAATAATTATGTGACACTGGGTAATGTCTTGTTGAAATGATATGACACTGGGTAATGTCTTGTTGAAATGATATGACACTGGGTAATGTCTTGTTGAAATGATATGACACTGGATAATGTCTTGTTGAAATGATATGACACTCTGCGTAATGTCTTGTTGAAATAATGATTAATATTACCCAGAGTGTCACGTCTTGCTGAAATGATATGGCACTCTGGGTAATGTCTTGTTGAAATGATATGACACTCTGGGTAATGTATTGTTAAAATGATATGCCATGACACTCTGGATAATGTCTTGTTGAAATGATATAATATGACACTGCGTAATGTCTTGTTGAAATGATATGACACTCTGGATAATGTCTTGTTGAAATGATATAATATGACACTCTGCGTAATGTCTTGTTGAAATAATATGACACTGCGTAATGTCTTGTTGATATATGACACTGGGTAATGTCTTGTTGAAATGTTTAGATATGACACACTGGGTAATTTCTTGTTGAAATGATTATGACACTCTGGGTAATGTCTTTTTGAAATGATATGCCATGACACTGGGTAATGCCTTGTTGAAATTATATGATCGAGCATTCTGGGTAATGTCTTCTTGAAAGTATATGATACAGTATGTCACTCTGGGTAATGTCTTATTGTAATTATAGATATCTGGCTAAGATATTAAGTCCAGGGGAGTGGACGTGGCTGTAGTGTTGTGGCAACAACTCACCTTCGATTCACCAGAACGGCTTTAGTTAGGCCCAGCTCCACTGTATACCCCAATGCAGACTGGATGCTAGCTCCACTGTATACCCCAGTACAGACTGGATGCTAGCTCCACTGTATACCCCAGTACAGACTGGATGCTAGCTCCACTGTATACCCCAATACAGACTGGATGCTAGCTCCACTGTATATCCCAGTACAGACTGGATGCTAGCCCCACTGTATACACCAATACAGACTGGATGCTAGCTCCACTGTATACCCCAATGCAGACTGGATGCTAGCCCCACTGTATACCCTAATACAGACTGGATGCTAGCTCCACTGTATACCCCAATACAGACTGGATGCTAGCTCCACTGTATACCCCAGTACAGACTGGATGCTAGCCCCACTGTATATCCCAGTACAGACTGGATGCTAGCTCCACTGTATACCCCAATACAGACTGGATGCTAGCCCAACTGTATACCCCAATACAGACTGGATGTTAGCTCCATTGTATACCTGACATGGCTGTAGTGTTGTGGCAACTGATTAATGACTAAGACAAGTCACCTTGGATTCACCAGACCAGCTTTAAAAATCAGGCCCAGCCCCACTGTACAGTGCTATGAAAAAATATTTGCCCCCTTTCTAATTTTCTGTACTTTTGCGTATTTGTGATACTGAATGTTATCAGATCTTCAACCAAAACCTAATATTAGATAAAGGGAACATAAGTGGACAAAAACACAACAATTACATATTTATTTCATTTATTTCATAAACAAAGTTATGCAACACCCAATTCCCCTGTGTGAAAAAGTAATTGCCCCCTTACACTCAATAACTGGTTGTGCCACCTTTAGCTGCAATGACTCCAACCAAATGCTTCCTGTAGTTGTTGATCAGTCTCTCACGTCGCTGTGGAGGAATTTTGGCCCACTCTTCCATGCAGAACTGCTTTAACTCAGTGACGTGTGGGTTTTCAAGCATGAACTGCTTGTTTCAAGTCCTGCCACAACATCTCAATTGGGGTTAGGTCTGGACTTTGACTAGGCCATTCCAAAACTTCCAATTTGTTGCTTTTTAGCAATTTTCATGTCGACTTGATTGTGTGTTTTGGATCATTGTCTTGCTGCATGACCCAGCTGCGCTTCAGCTTCAGCTCACAGACGGATGGTCTGACATTCTCCTGTAGAATTCTCTGATACAGAGCAGAATTCATGGTTCCTTCTATTAAGGCAAGTCGTCCAGGTCCTGAGGCAGCAAAGCATCCCCAAACCATCACACCACCACCACCATGCTTGACCTTTGGTATGATGTTCTTACTGTGGAATGCAGTTTGGTTTTCGCCAGGCATAATGGGACCCGTCCAAAAGGTTGACTCAAGTTGCCAAAAAGCACCTGGATGATCATCAAGACTCTTGGAAGAACGTTCTATGGACAGATGATTCAAAAGTATAACTTTTTGGACGACATGGTTCCAGTAATGCCTGGCGAAAACCAAACTCTGCATTCCACAGTAGTCAAGCATGGTGGTGGTGGTGTGATGGTTTGGGGATGCTTTGCTGCCTCAGGTCCAGGAATTGGGTGTTGCATAACTTTGTTTATGAAATAAACATGTAATTGTTGTGTTATTTGTCCACTTATGTTCCCTTTATCTAATATTAGGTTTTGGTTGAAGATCTGATAACATTCAGTATCACAAATATGCAAAAGTAGAGAAAATCAGGAAGGGGGCAAATACTTTTTCATAGCACTGTATACCCCAATACAGACTGGATGCTAGCTCCACTGTATACCCCAATGCAGACTGGATGCTAGCTCCACTGTATACCCCAGTACAGACTGGATGCTAGCTCCACTGTATACACCAATACAGACTGGATGCTAGCTCCACTGTATACACCAATACAGACTGGATGCTAGCTCCACTGTATACCCCAATGCAGACTGGATGCTAGCTCCACTGTATACCCCAGTACAGACTGGATGCTAGCTCCACTGTATACACCAATACAGACTGGATGCTAGCTCCACTGTATACACCAATACAGACTGGATGCTAGCTCCACTGTATATCCCAGTACAGACTGGATGCTAGCCCCACTGTATACCCCAATACAGACTGGATGCTAGCTCCACTGTATACCCCAATACAGACTGGATGCTAGCTCCACTGTATACACCAATACAGACTGGATGCTAGCTCCACTGTATACCCCAATGCAGACTGGATGCTAGCTCCACTGTATACCCCAGTACAGACTGGATGCTAGCTCCACTGTATATCCCAATACAGACTGGATGCTAGCTCCACTGTATACCCCAATACAGACTGGATGCTAGCTCCACTGTATATCCCAGTACAGACTGGATGCTAGCCCCACTGTAAACACCAATACAGACTGGATGCTAGCTCCACTGTATACCCCAATACAGACTGGATGCTAGCTCCACTGTATACCCCAATACAGACTGGATGCTAGCCCCACTGTATACCCCAATACAGACTGGATGCTAGCTCCACTGTATACCCCAATACAGACTGGATGCTAGCTCCACTGTATATCCAAGTACAGACTGGATGCTAGCCCCACTGTATACCCCAATACAGACTGGATGCTAGCTCCACTGTATACCCCAATACAGACTGGATGCTAGCCCCACTGTATACCCCAATACAGACTGGATGCTAGCCCCACTGTATACCCCAATACAGACTGGATGCTAGCTCCACTGTATACCCCAATACAGACTGGATGCTAGCTCCACTGTATACCCCAATACAGACTGGATGCTAGCCCAACTGTATACCCCAATACAGACTGGATGCTAGCTCCACTGTATACCCCAATACAGACTGGATGCTAGCTCCACCGTATATCCCAGTACAGACTGGATGCTAGCTCCACCGTATACCCCAGTACAGACTGGATGCTAGCTCCACCGTATACCCCAGTACAGACTGGATGCTAGCCCAACTGTATACCCCAATACAGACTGGATGCTAGCTCCACTGTATACCCCAATACAGACTGGATGCTAGCTCCACTGTATATCCCAGTACAGACTGGATGCTAGCTCCACTGTATATCCCAGTACAGACTGGATGCTAGCTCCACCGTATATCCCAGTACAGACTGGATGCTAGCTCCACCGTATATCCCAGTACAGACTGGATGCTAGCTCCACTGTATATCCCAATACAGACTGGATGCTAGCTCCACTGTATACCCCAATACAGACTGGATGCTAGCTCCACTGTATACCCCAATACAGACTGGATGCTAGCCCAACTGTATACCCCAATACAGACTGGATGCTAGCTCCACTGTATATCCCAGTACAGACTGGATGCTAGCTCCACTGTATATCCCAGTACAGACTGGATGCTAGCTCCACTGTATACCCCAATACAGACTGGATGCTAGCTCCACCGTATACCCCAGTACAGACTGGATGCTAGCTCCACTGTATACCCCAATACAGACTGGATGCTAGCTCCACTGTATATCCCAGTACAGACTGGATGCTAGCTCCACTGTATATCCCAATACAGACTGGATGCTAGCTCCACCGTATACCCCAATACAGACTGGATGCTAGCTCCACTGTATACCCCAATACAGACTGGATGCTAGCTCCACTGTATACCCCAATACAGACTGGATGCTAGCCCAAATGTATACCCCAATACAGACTGGGTGATTCATTGAGAGGACACAGAGAACCCACATTTGTTATGTGTAAACAGACAAAGTGGTGCGGTTCCATTTCAGTATTATATCTGGTTAATGACCCCCACCCAGCTTAATAGTCTGTAGTAACATCATTTCAAAGACAGACTGGATAAATGGGGTCAATGTGTGGCTGGAATCTAGGAGGTTTCTTTCTGCATAGTGGGTGAAAACTCTGAGCCCAAGCCACTCAGAGATAAAAACCGTGATGGGATTAAAAAAAGTGACTGTTTTTCCTCTGAAGGACAGAGCGCATTGAGAACTCGGAGGTCAATCACACCGTCTTCCATGTCTGTTTGCAACGTAGCATTTTGTTTTCCGTCACTCACATGCACTAGATGTGGAAATAAAGGACATGTCTACGTGGTGCGGTCTGTGGCACGCAACTCCTGCTGTTCATACTGGAAACAGGCTTGTCAGTTGTCAGACTCGAGTCATAACAATCTGGTTCTTCTAAAACATTAGTTTACCCAGTGACAAACACACCACTAGTATGGGTATTAGGGAACTGCGGGCAACGCCTGAGCCAAGAGTGAAGCCTCTTGTCCAAAGGAGTCGTGTGTGCACAGACCAGAGGATGAGGCTACACACTTCAAATATGCACTCAACTTCCAACATGACATCAGCTCAGAACATCCTGTACTTGCATGGCCACTTCTAAGTAAAGGGAAACGGTCACGTGTCTCTAAGCGATATTCACTGGCATGGAACCACACTGTGTCCTTATGCACATTCTCAAGTTGGCTCTGACGGTCATAGAGACGTAAATGTGGGGACGAAGGGCAATCACGAACAGAGTCAAGTAAATCTCTTACAGACGTCTCGTATCCTCAATACACTCTTCGCTGTGGTCCTCTGTAGCTCAGCTGGTAGAGCACAGCGCTTGTAACGCCAAGGTAGTGGGTTCGATCCCCGGGACCACCCCCATACACAAAAAATGTATGCACGCATGACTGTAAGTCGCTTTGGATAAAAGCGTCTGCTAAATGGCATATTATATTATTATTACATTCCATAACAAATAGAATGGATAGAACAGCAGCTATTGGCAGAAATCAACTATTTCCATTGGACAAACACCATCAGCTCTCATTTCAATCAATTGTAAATCACTTACAATGCCTCCTAGGGCTGGGAATTGCCAGGGACCTCACCATACGATATTATCACGATACTTAGGTGCTGATACGATAGGTATTGCGATTCTCGAGATTCTATATGTATTTGCGATTCGATACTGTGATTTGATGTTCCAAACATATTGCTCACTATGTCTGCTGCAGAGAGACGACAGAGAGCATAAGAAAATGAGTTTTGATCAGTCATGGAAATAAAGTGCTGAAAACATGTTGTCTCACTATTTAAAAAGAAGATGGAGAACAAGCTATAGGATGAAAAATCCCATAGTTTTGGCACAGGTACAGCCGGCTAATGCTACCTACAGTTGCAAAATATATTATTTTATTTTTTCACGGATATCGATTTCATATCGTCCAAAAATAATATTGCTATATGTAACTATCAATTTTTCCTCCATCACTAATGCCTCCCCTCCCACAGAGAGTCAGAGGACGTTATAAATTCCCCTACCTGGTTAAATAAAGGTTAAATAAAATAAATAAATAAAAAATAAAAATTCCCCTATGTAGGCCTATTGTGTCATGGCTATGACAGTCCTTGAGTGTTCGGCTGTAAGTCCGAGTGCTTCATCAAGCTTGTTGTTTGTGCACCTGTGGCAGTGCATGATGGTGCTGCTGTCTGTACCTGAGCGTGCCGTTCTCTCCTTTGTCCAAGCTGGTAAAGCGACTGTAGAGCCGGGTGATCTGGCTGTGGGAAACTGCAAAGAAACACAAAGTTAGTGTTAGTGACAGGATTGTTGGGATCATGCTTTTAAATGCTTCAGGTCTCAATGTACGACATAATTTCTACACAGGACTACAATCATGTAAAGGAGTAGGAGATTGATATTTAGTCCCTTTTTCTACAATGCTTGTCCATACGTTGTCAGTAGTTTGTTTCATTGTTGTGATCCACTGGACTATCATGGGCATTAATATGGAGTTGGTCCCCCCTTTGCTGCTATAACAGCCTCCACTCTTCTGAGAAGGCTTTCCACTAGATGTTGCGGGGACTTGTTTCCATTTAGCCACAAGAGCATTAGTGAGGTGGGGCACTGAAACAGGAAAGGGCCTTCCCAAAACTGTTGCCACAAAGTTGGCTGCACAGAACCTTCTAGAAAGTCATTGTATGCTGTAGTGTTAAGATTTCCCTTCACTGGAACTAGCCCGAACCACGAAAAACAGCCCCAGACCATTATTCCAATGCAAATAGTCCGGGTAGCCATTTGATTAGATGTTCAGGAGTCTTATGGCTTGGGGGTAGAAGCTGTTTAGAAGCCTCTTGGACCTAGACTTGGCGCTCCGGTACCGCTTGTCTTTGACAATTTTTAGGGCCTTCCTCTGACACCGCCTGGTATAGAGGTCCTGGCAGGAAGGAAGCTTGGCCCCAGTGATGTACTGGGCCGTACGCCTTGCTGTCGGAGGCCGAGTAGTTGCCATACCAGGCAGTGATGCAACCAGTCAGGATGCTCTCGATGGTGCAGCTGTAGAACCTTTTGTGGATCTGACGACCCACGCCAAATCTTTTCAGTCTCCTTAGGGGGAATAGGTTTTGTCGTACCCTCTTCACGACTGTCTTGGTGTGTTTGGACCATGATAGTTTGTTGTTGATGTGGACACCAAGGAACTTGAAGCTCTCAACCTGCTCCACTACAGCCCTGTCGATGAGAATGGGGGCGTGCTCGGTCCTCTGGAACGCTAAGCTGTAGTCAATGAATAGCATTCTCCCATAGGTGCTCCTTTTGTCCAGGTGTGAAAGGGCTGTGTGGAGCACAATAGCGATTGCATCATCTGTGGATCTGTTGGGGTTGGGGCGGTATGCAAATTGGAGTGGGTCTAGGGTTTCTGGGATAATGGTGTTGATGTGAGCCATGACCAGCCTTTCAAAGCTCTTCATGGCTACAGACGTGAGTGCTATGGGTCGGTAGTCATTTAGGCTGGTTACCTTAGTGTTCTTGGGCACAGGGACTATGGTGGTCTGATTGAAACATGTTGGTATTACAGACTCAGACAGGGAGAGGTTGAAAATGTCAGTGAAGACACTTGCCAGTTGGTCAGCGCATGCTCGGAGTACACGTCCTGGTAATCCGTCTGGCCCTGCGGCCTTGTGAATGTTGACCTGTTTAAAGGTCTTACTCACATCGGCTACGGAGAGCGTGATCACACAGTCGTCCGGAACAGCTGGTGCTCTCATGCATGTTTCCGTGTTACTTGCCTCGAAGCGATCATAGAAGGTACGTAGCTCGTCTGGTAGGCTTGTGTCACTGGGCAGCTCGCGGCTGTGCTTCCATTCGTAGTCTGTAATAGTTTTCAAGCCCTGCCAAATCCGACGAGCATCGGAGCCGGTGTAGTACGATTCAATCTTAGTCCTGTATTGACGCTTTGCCTGTTTGATGGTTCGTCGGAGGGCATTGCGGGATTTCTTATAAGCTTCCGGGTTAGATTCCCGATCCTTGAAAGCGGCAGCTCTACCCTTTAGCCCTGTAATCCTTGGCTTCTGGTTGGGGTATGTACGTACAGTCACTGTGGGGACGACGTCATCGATGCACTTATTGATGAAGCCAGTGACTGATGTGGTGTACTCCTCAATGCTATCTGAAGAATCCCGGAACATGTTCCAGTCTGTGCTAGCAAAACAGTCCTGTAGCGTAGCATCTGCGTCATCTGACCACTTCTTTATTGACCGAGTCACTGGTGCTTCCTGCTTTAGTTTTTGCTTATAAGCAGGAATCAGGAGGATAGAGTTATGGTCAGATTTGCCAAATGGAGGGCGAGGGAGAGCTTTGTACGCGTCTCTGTGTGTGGAGTAAAGGTGGTCTAGAGTTTTTTCCCCCTCTGGTTACACATTTAACATGCTGGTAGAAATTAGGTAGAACGGATTTAAGTTTCCCTGCATTAAAGTCCCCGGCCACTAGGAGCGCTGCCTCTGGATGAGCGTTTTCTTATGGCCGTATACAGTTCATTGAGTGCGGTCTTAGTGCCAGCATCGGTTTGTGGTGGTAAATAGACAGCTACGAAGAATATAGATGAAAACTCTCTTGGTAGATAGTGTGGTCTACAGCTTATCATGAGAAACTCTACCTCAGGCGAGCAAAACCTCGAGACTTCCTTAGATATCGTGCACCAGTTGTTGTTTACAAATATACATAGACCGCCACCCCTTGTGTCTTACCAGAGGCTGCTGTTCTATCCTGCCGATACAGTGTATAACCCGCCAGCTGTATGTTATTCATGTCTTCGTTCAGCCACGACTCGGTGAAACATAAGATATTACCATTTTTAATGTCCCGTTGGTAGGATATATGTGCTTGTAGTTCGTCCACTTTATTATCAAGCGATTGTAAGTTGGCCAATAGTATCGATGGCAAAGGCAGATTAGCCACTCGTCACCGGCTCCTTACCAGGCACCCCGATCTCCTTCCGCGATATCTCATTTTCTTTCTACTGCGAATGACGGGGATGAGGGCCCTGTTGGGTGTCTGGAGCAAATCCCTCTCGTCCGACTCATTAAATCATTTTTTTTTGTTCAGTTCAAGGTGAGTAATCGCTGTTCTGATGTCCAGAAGCTCTTTTCGGTCATAAGAGACGGTAGCAGCAACATTATGTACAAAATAAGTTACAAACAATGTGAAAAAAAATAGCACGGTTGGTTAAGAGTCCATAAAACGGCAGCCATCCCCTCCAGCGCCATTGAGTCAACTAGCTACACTATATATATATATATATATATATATATATACACACACACACCACTCCAGCCAAAGCTTGGCACTGCAAGGTGATCTTAGGCTTGTGTGCTGCTGCTCGCCATGGAAACCCATTTCATGAAGCTCCCGACGAACAGTTATTGTGCTGACTTTGCTCGGTAGTGAGTGTTGCAACTGAGGACAGACGATTTTTACGGGCTATGTGCTTCAGCACTCTGGCAGTCCCGTTCTGTGAGCTGGTGTGGCCTACCACTTCGTGGCTGAGCCGGTGCTCCTCCTAGACGTTTCCACTTCACAATAACAGCACTTAAAGTTGACCTGGGCAGCTCTAGCAGGGCAGCAATTTGACGAAATGTGTCATCCTATGACGATTGCCACGTTCAAAGTCACTGAGCTCTTCAGTAAGGCCATTCTACTGCCAATGTTTGTCTATGGAGATTGCATGGCTGTGTGCTCGATTTTATACACCTTTCAGCAACGGGTGAGGCTGAAATAGCCGAATCCACTAATTTGAAGGGGTGTCCATGTACGGCTGTGTATAGAGTGTAGTTACTTATGTGAAATAACAAAGTGCTTTGATATTACAGGAGAGTGAGAGTTTGTCATTAACTGTTAGTTGGTTACAGACTGACTACAATGTACACACACACACAGAGAGAGAGAGATGGTGAGAGAGAGAGAGACAGTACTGACTGAGCCAATACAGCTACTTAGTAATCACTACGTTGGCTAGCTAGCGAACAGCTTTGGTAAAAGTGGAGAACTCAACTCACAGCCAGTCTCCTTTTTGATTTCTTCGATCTCCTCCTCTCTCAGTAATGTCGATGCTCTGGATCCCATTGTAAAGTCCCACCTTTACAACAAAAGCTAAAAATGCCTAGCTACGCTAACAAGTTATTTGACGGTTTCGACGAGATGTGTTAGCTGATTCGCGCTAGCTAGCGAAAAGCTGTGTACACGAAGCAAGCTAGCAATTTCGTAACGTTGCGAAAGTTTACTTTGAATCCAACTGTCTACTGTTGATGATTTCCTTGTAATGGTTTTGATTATCCCGAGTTAGCCTCTAAAACAGCTGCTCGGATAGCTGTCAGCTTGCTCTGTCCAACACTATGGAGTTCTGGGAGAGGACAGGGACCGGGTCACTTCTTTCTTCTTCTTCTTCTTCAGTGGGGTTTATCGGCGGTTGGCATCCAACGGTATGGCGCATTACCGCCACCTACCGTACTGGAGTTTGGACCAGAGACAGGGAGAAACTAAATCATACCTTCCAGCCCCGTTGCTTTAAAAAAAAAAGTATAATATTTGAGACTATATCTAATGACGTTCTACTCAATTTACTCTTTAAACTAATTTTCTGTATCTCCTTCTCCCTCATACTAGATCTCATCCTCTCTCTTTGCCTCTGATACTGCCCACACTGTAGCAATACATGCTCTACGGTCTCTGTTTCCTGGCAATAGTCACACTTTCCTGTTGGATGCTTTCCTATCACATTTAATGTCTTATTCAACTGGCTGTGTCCAACCCTTAATCTTGTAAAAAATAGCCTCCTCTCTTCTGTCCCTTCCTGCCATCCTCCCCTCCCCGACTTTCCTCTGTACTTGAAATAAATGCCTTCCCTTATTATCTCTATTCCACTGCTCCTGCCATCTCTGCACCATCACTGTCCATATCAGGCTTTTTGCCTCTGCCTTGCTCATTGAAACTACAACGCCTTGCTCATTGAAACTACAACATCAACGTCCCCACTACTAAGTGCTTGTTTAGCCAGTACATCAACTGCCTCGTTCCCCTCCACCCCCACATGGGCTGGGACACAAGTAAATCTTATCTGAATACCCATCTGTTTAATCCTGCCATGGGTTTGTAGCACTTCATAAAGCAGGTCTTGTCTGCTATGTGAGCTAAAGGACTGGAGACTCATTAACACTGCACATGAGTCAGAGCAAATAACTACTCTGTCTTGTTTGACTTCCTCCACCCACTGCAAGGCCAACAGTATGGCCATCAGCTCCGCCGTATATACAGCCAGATGATCTGTAAAACGTTTCCTGACTTCCACCCCACATTCCCGCACTACAAATGCTGACCCAGTATGTCCTTCTGTGAACCATCTGTGTAAATGGCCACAAAATCCTGATACACAGTATCCAGACGTCTCTTAAACAAATCAGATGGAACAACACTCTCCCTATCTTTCTGTAGTCTCTCCAACACTTCTAGATCAACTACTGGAGGCGGGAGTAGCCATGGTGGATTTACAGGAATAGCTACCGTTGGACTAAACTCCCTTCCATACAGTCCCATCTCCTTCGCCTGGGTATTACCCACCCACCCAAAGCTCGTGTTCTGTCTTCGCTCATGTTCCCAGCATGCCTGTAAAATCCCTTTCGCAGGATGAGACACCCCATGTCCTTGTAGGTTGACCCAGTAATTCATTGCCAGCTGCTGTTTCCTAATCTGCAATGGCATATCCCCCATCTCCACCTGTAATGCAGCCACTGGGGACGTCCGAAACGCCCCACTACATATTCTGAGTCCTTGCCCCTGTATGACATCTAGCCTTTCCAGTGAGGTCCGGGCTGCCGAACCATATGCTATACTTCCATAGTCTATTACAGATCAGATCAATGCAACATACATGGTCCTCAATGAGGAACGCCCAGCCCCCCACTCCTTCCGCGTCAGACGGCGCATCACATTTAGCACCTTCTTACACTTTCCCACCACTCTGTCAATGTGTTCTGCCCAGGTCAGTCTAGTATCAAAGTATACCCCAAGGAACCTGAAGGCCACCACCCTCTTCAAGTTTCTCCCATATAACCTCAAGCATACCTCATCTCCCACCTTCCTCCTGGTAAAGAACACTGTTTGAGTTTTCTCTACAGAGAACCTGAATCCCCACATTAATGCCCACCGCTCTACCTCATCAATTGCTTCCTGTACCTTCCTGACTATGTATGGCACATTTCTTCCCCTCTTCCATAAGGCCCCATCATCTGCAAATAACGACCTCCCAATATCCGGCTGTACATCATTGATCATGATTGAGAACAACAGAGGACTAATCACGCTCCCCTGTGGTGTACCGTTATCCACCAGGTAGATGTCTGATAGAAACTTCCCCACCCTCACCTGGATAGACCTTCCAAACAGGAAATCCTTTATCCAGTTGTATGTTCTTCCTCCTACCCCCATAATATCAAGCTTGATTAACAACCCCTCCTTCCACATCATATCATACGCCTTCTCCACATCAAAAAAGACAGCTACAACAGTCTCCTTGTTCACCTGAGTTCTCCTGACCTCTGCTTCTAAGAAGAGCACTGGGTCCATAGTTCCCCTACCCTTCCTGATCCCACTCTGACATGGCAATACTAGCCCTCTGCTCTCCAGGAAGTAAGTTAGCCTCTCCGTAATCATATGTTCCATAATCTTACATACATGTGATGTTAAAGCTATTGGCTGATAGCTTGTTGGCCTCGTTGGATCCTTCTCTGGCTTCCGGATTGGTACCACTACTGCCTCCTTCCAGCTGCCTGGTAGTTTCCCCTCCTCCCACACTCTGTTGTACAACAGCAATACCTTATCCAGTGCCTCATCACTAAGATGGGCCAACATAACATAGCATACCTCATCCTTCCCAGGTGAAGTTAACCCAGCATTACCTATTGCTCCTTTCACCTCTGCCCTGGTAAATGCTGCATTCAACACATCATTTACATCCTCCCTCCTCTCCAGCGCTCCAGGATGCTCCTCTCTCGTGTTCTCTCTCCCCCTCTGCCCATCCTCTGACAGATTTGCAGAGCTATGCACTTGGACAAATGCTTTGGCCATCATCTCTGCCTTCTCCTCATCTGTTACTGCCGCATCCTCCCCACTCGTCAACACTGGATAATCCGACTCTCTTCCGACCCCACTCATCCTCTTAATCATCCCCCACACTTCTCCCACAGGTGTCGCCCCTTCCAATGGTGTCACAGAACCGATGCCAACATGACCGCTTTGCCTGACGGATAGTTCTCCTCACCGTGGCCTGGGCCTGCTTATACTGAATCAGATGTTGGAAGTTATGCGTCCTTTTCAGTACTCTAAACGCCCTGTTCCTACTCCTCACCATCGCTCCACACTCCTCCGTCCACCATGGGACTGCTTTCCTCCTCCTCCTCCTCCTCCCAATAGCAGGGACCGGGTCACGCCTGCTGTCCAAACTGACGACGTAAGTCCCGCAGCGCGAGTCGAGTGGAGACGAACGGATTCGGTTCAGTCGGTTCAGTCAGTCGTCCTGATGAGCCCTTCAAAGCTGTGATTGGGTTTGGTCTTAATTTAAGGTTAGAGGTAGGCATTTGATTAGCAGCGTGGTTAAGGTCGTGGTTAGGGTTAAAATCAGAATTTAAGAAGATCAATTGTCGGAATAGGCGTGGTTTAGCCATAATTAGGACTTTGTGGCTGTGGTAACTAGTGACGACCCGTGATTGACTACACATTCCAGTACAGTAGGTGGTGGCATGCACCTCTAATGTTTGTTTGCGGACAGCCATAATATTATAAAAGAAGAAGAGCCATTCACAGAGACGAGCAAGCACCTCGATACGACACCGTTGCACTGGTCATTCGCAACGGTTTGCCGTTACGTTAGCTAATTGGCATGTCATGGTGACATCCAGATGGTGACCAATATTACAAGGAATTTCTCCCTTGCCCATCGAAATAAACATAACTTTATTTTACAATTTTAACTAGCGCCATGCTGCTGTTGTTGCCAGTATAAGCTAGAATTGCTAGGAAGGGCTCATCAGGACCACTTCTTCTTCTATGGTATATTGGCGATAATGAACTGGGTGGTTCGAGGCCTGAATGCTGATTGGCTGACAGCTGTGGCATATTTAAGCAAGAAGGCCCGAGGAGGTGTGGTATATGGCCAATATTCCACGGCTAAGGGCTGTGTCAAGGCACTCTGCGTTGCGTCGTGGGTAAGAACAGCCCTTAGACATGGTATATTGGCCATATACCACATGTCCTTGGGCCTTATTGATGAATTGCACAATTTCATGTACATCCCGTTACCTACTGGGTGGGATGGAAACAGGATTCCACCAAAAAACAGAACAAACTACATGTATCAGTGGAGGCTGCTGAGGGTCATTTAGCAGACACTTTTATCCAGAGTGACTTACAGTTAGCGAGTGCATACATTTTTTATTTATTTTTATACTGGCCCCCCGTGGGAATCGAACCCACAACCCTGGCGTTGCAAACGCCATGCTCTACCAACTGAGCTACACAGGACCTAGATATACCAAACTACCAAAAATAAAATAAACTAAATCATTAACAACTTTACTGTTAAAGAAAATAGACAGATCTGATCCCTACACAGGCTCAAGGGGAGCCTGGGAGGGCGGGCCGTCTTCCGGCGCCAGTACCCCTTGCAAGTCTTCAGATGTAAAATCAAGTCTTCAGATGTAAAATCAAGTCTTCAGATGTAAAATCAAGTCTTCAGATGTAAAATCAAAAACTTTTCTGCCGCAGCCACAATAATGTCCAGTTTCTTAGACTTCTTTGAGACAGTTTATAACTAACTGTGGCAATGAACGCCACAAAATCCACCTTTTTAACACACAGGGTATATTTTGTCTGGCTGCAAACATTTACTACAGGCTGTGGTGCATCCACTACCATATCTTCACTAGCATCACTTGTTTTCTCAATTATTTTTATCACCTCTGCACAGGAGAGGTGACCATGGTGCTTGCCTAATACAAGACCATGGTGCTTGCCTACGGAGCTGTGAGGGGAACGACACCTCCTTACCTTCAGGCTCTGATCAGACCCTACACCCAAACGAGGGCACTGCGTTCATCCACCTCTGGCCTGCTAGCTCCCCTACCTCTACGGAAGCACAGTTCCCGCTCAGCCCAGTCAAAGCTATTCGCTGCTCTGGCTCCCCAATGGTGGAACAAGCTCCCCCAAGACGCCAGGACAGCGGAGTCACTGACCACCTTCCGGAGACACTTGAAACCCTACCTCTTTAAGGAATACCTGGAATAGTATAAAGTAATTCTTCTTTCTTTTTGTTCCACTTTTAAACACTAATGTTGAAATAATTAACCTC